GCTTGAATTGAATTTTTTTTTGTAAAGCTCACTCCGTTTCATCCAGCAACAATAAGACGTTGTCTTTATACAACTCAAGCGTGAATTTAGCATTACCAATCATGTTTTATTATATCTTACAAAAGCCATGCATAGAGTCAACCAGCAAAGACCCCACGAGAGAAAGTTTTGTTCTTTGCAGTAATCAATCATTTGCTTGCTTCAGTGATGCAGAGAAACATGTGACATTTGTGACATTTTATGATTTGTGTCATGGGTCTAATCTGCAGGGTGATTCCCACCAAACCAATGTCAAAACTGCTGCTTTTAATCAGACTTCTACTGATGCCTTTGCTTCCTCTGACTTGTGGCAGAGCAAACAATACCAGACTCTCGAAGTGTGTCTTCAGCGTTTTAATTTATGTTTAGGTCACATCTAAATATACCAGCAGGGTTCTGTTGCTCAGCTCGACCACTGGGTGGTGGTAAGCTCTCATAAAACGTGGGGTTACTTTGCAGTCCTCCTGTCAAGGTTAAGATGAAGCAATTATTCGTTCAAGGTGGTTAAAACAATCTCTCAGCAAAGCTCCCAACAGACCCCAACATCTGCTTGCAGCTGTGCCATCATCTCCTTTTTTCCAAATTGAAGAAGCCATGACAACATATAAAACGGGCAGACACTAAAAACAGTGTATTTTTTATTTATTTAGCATATTTATGACACTTTGTTCTTAGAGGTCTGCTATGGAAATTAAACTATTAAGGCAAGTAATGATCCAATCAGCCTAGCTCACTTCTCCGTCATCCCATTACCACTTGTCTTGGCTCTGATAATTCAGCTTAAGTTTAATCCAATCAAAACAGCAGCTGGAGGATGTGTAGTGAGAGGATTTATTTAAAGCCAAGGTGGAATCAGAAATGACAACAGAAAAAAGCTGTTGAAATGCAAGTTAAAGGTACGACAAAAATGAGCTTTTTCTCAGCTGAAATAAGAACACAACTTAGCATAATAAATGATAAAAGCTTTTATTAATTTAGAACCAGATGGGAGCAATCTAACAAACCAAAACAAATAATTTAGGTTTTGCTTGCAGCGATGGTGTAAATATGGTGTTTGAGGGCTTTGAGAAGCTCTCCAGTGGAAAGTATTTGGTAAAGTAGGTAACAATACATTACCTTGGGTAAGGAAAAGTGGAGGAGTTTAAGTATCTCGGGGTCTTGTTCACGAATGAGGGGAAAAATGGAGCGTGAGATCGATGGGTGGATAGGTGCAGCGTCGGCAGTGAAGCGGGCGCTGTACCGGTCTGTCGTGGTGAAGAGAGAGCTGAGTCAAAAGGCGAAGCTCTCAATTTACTGGTCGATCTACGTTCCTACCCTCATCTATGGTCATCTAGGGTTGTGACTAAAAGAACGAGATCTCGGATACAAGCAGCCGAAATGAGTTTTCTCTGCAGGGTGTCTGGGCTCTCCCTTAGAGATAGAGTGAGAAGCTTGGTCATCCGGGAGGGACTCAGAGTAGAGCCGCTGCTTCTCCACATCGAGAGGAGACAGTTGAGGTGGCTCGGGCATCTGGTTAGGATGCCTCCTGGACGCCTCCCTGGTGAGGTGTTCCAGGCACGTCCCACCAGGAGGAGACCCAGAGGAAGACCCAGGACACGCTGGAGGGACTATGTTTCTCGACTGGCCTGGGAACTCCATAGGATTCCCCCGGAGGAGCTGGCCCAAGTGGCTGGGGAGAGGGAAGTCTGGGCCTCCCTACTTAGGCTGCTACCCCCGCGACCCGACCCCGGATAAGCAGAAGAGAAGGGATGGATGGATGAAGGGTAAAGAAGAACCCAAAAAATGAGCAAAATAACTCTCAGCCTTCTTTCACACAAATCATGGCAGAGGAGATGAATGGACATGGCCTCCATGGTGCAACACAGATAAGTGTTATGCCTATGGCTTGGCTGCAAACCTTGTGTGTCTGGTAAATTTTGAGAAGTGCTTTTGAAAGAACATTTGTCTGAGAGATAGTATCATCAAAATCTTTATCGTACCACCTGAATGTGCCATCACTTCTGCAAGGACATGTAAGATAAAACAGTACGCAATGGATTTTTATCAGCTTGCAATAAAATGAGCGCCCTCAATTTTCAAGGACTGCCGAGGCTTAAACAGATGCTTCATTTCAACCATGACCAATTTAGAAATGTCACTTCTCAAACAGATGGACAGCTCAGTAAGCAGGAAAAGAGAGCAAGTTTAGACAAAGATCCAAAATTCTTTTCAATATTTGTAATTGTGACAGCATATTATCAAGAAAAATACATTGTGTGTTTTCACATCCAGAGAACGAGCCCAGAGTGATGCTGTGTGCAGCTTGATATAGTTCAAGATGCTTTTTTCTTTTCTTCTGTTAAAGGAATGAGTACGGTTGTGCAATGGGAACCAGTTTTTGTGTTGTTTTTTTAGGGAACCTGGGTCACCCCTTTCATCGTTCGTCTCCGCTGAGCCAATCACCGCTCCGCGTTGGGTGGCATCATGAGGTGCGACGATTCAGAACTCCACAACACCGATTCACCAACCTCACAGAACACGTGTCTACTACCACACAACCATACTCCAGCCTAATACTGTAAACAGAGATGTCAAGAGTCGGAAATGAGAAGAAGACGAAAAAGAAAGAAAACAAAAGGACGGGAAAAAGGGAAGTGGGGAAAAAAATTAAATTAAACGAAACACGCTCGTCTAGACTTACATTTAAGAATGATGTTTACACGGGATTACCACCAAAAATCACCACAGACATTCTCACTGTCAACTAAACCTAATATCCACTGAGAAATATGAAAACACGGTAGGACTGGTTTGGAAAGAAGAGACGTCCATAAAGGCAACATCCTGTCCTCAACACTGGAAACTAAAAATGTCCACGGATACTGTTAACAGCTAAAAACCAGGCCAGATTTATCATCTGTTCTCATTTGGTCTCATGAATCTTTAAACATCTGTTCAGTTATTCATCTTGACAAAAAAAAAGCTGTGGTTTCATCATCTCTGACAAGGGACAAAAATGGAATTTGCATGATTCATTTGAAATCCTCCCCCTCCCTTTCCTGCAGCAAATTATCTTTAAACCACACATTTGTTATAAAAAGTAGGTCTTTCTTTGGATCAGAGGTACCCCTTTTTAAAGCATGGTCTTTTTTTTTTTTTTTATAAATATGAACATTTGAACCACTAATTTATTTTTCTGAACTTGTTATTTAGGCAAGTTTTAGCTGATGCACAGAGATGTAAACAGATAATTTCTCATGTATTTTATGAGTTGTTGAGAACAGAATGGTCCAATATGGAGGACAAGGAACTTTAAAACAGTAAACAGCCAAGAGGTCACAATCAACAACTGAAGAAATTAAAACAAGGGCCTAACAAGAGGCAACGTAACACTTCAAAGAAAATTGTTTTTTTTTTCCCATTAAAACCACAGTACTACTTTCCACTATACAATGCACATGGTGTGGGTAGGGTTAACACAACTTCATTTACATTTGAATCCTCGTCTCCAGCCAGGGACCCCTCCCAAAGGAGGACCCAGTGGGGGTGTGTGGGGGGGTAGGGGTGAAGGTGGGGGGATGCACTGGGCTAGGGGGGCAGAGACATTCGCACACCGGCCGTCTCCGAGACATAGAGAGAACAGTCAGCGTCACAATGTGAGACTTCTGGAGCTTGTGCGTTCGTGATGTGTGTGCGTTTGTTGTTGTGTAGTTCTCATTCCATTAACCTCAGTGTGGCTGTGTGGGACAGCAGATGGTCTCGTGATCATCGAGGCAACTTGTACAATGGCAGTGGTGATAATTATATAACTTAGTCATGCGCACACTACTGTATCAAAAAATTCAACTTACACAAAGTATGGCTTTGATTTTTCCACAAATTCACATTAGCTCTCTCTGGGAGACTGAATGTTTTCTTTATGGCTATACAAACAGTATTGCTGGAATGTTATATTTTAGTAGATAAGTGTGTGTGCCGGTTTTCACTCTGCGGGGTTGCGGTTCCACTCGTCCTGAGAAAAGATGCATGTGCTGCTGTGCCTCATCCAGAACCAGGATGAGTTACCTCATTGTGGGACTGAGTGTTCTCTCTCTATCTCTTAGTATGACCCAACTTTCCAGGCTGCTCCCCCCGGGCAGCGCCGGTAAAGCTGGTTGACCAACAACACAGCAGAGAACAGGAACGAGGTTGCGGAGGCCAGTAGGTGCAACTCCTCCCTGTTGGAAAAAGGAGCACCAGTGAGTGTTGTAAGGGAGATGAAGGACGAGTCAATGTGACTTTTGTCGTCCTCTCTCGTCCAACTCAACAGCCCTTCTGATCCTGCCAACCCAGATCCTGTTACTCTCTCTTGAGTTGGTTGCTATGGTTTCTGTGGCGGCCTGTGTCTGCTGGTCCAGACTTTTTAATCAAACCATCTGGGCCACAGGCAGCCAGAGAAGCTCCTGGCCAGCGTGCTCGTCCCAAACTCACACAGCTAATGTTTTGGTGTAATCTCACAAAGAAGTAAAGGCTAAGAAAAGGTTTTATTTGATTTGTTGTCATCCAAACATTTTCTTCTTGGGTCTCATATGTATTTATTAATTAACACTTCTAAAATAAAAATAAAAATAAAGGTGGAGTTATTGAGGTGGTTGACCCTATTTGATCCTCCCTGACCAACTGTGGTGAAAATAGATAAACACAGCTAAAATAATTGTTCTTCAATGCTATGTTATTAATTTATTTTACATATTTTAGCCAAAATTATATGACAAGGCATATCTATAACTTATTTAAGCTGATGGCCTGACTTACTGATGAGACTATTAAACATGGAGCTTTTAATAATAATATTAGTATATTAGTCTAATTAAAGTTGGTAAAGAAAACCAACTCAATACTCCACAGTCCAGTCATTAAAGAAGGATCTTATATCCTATAATTTCTAACACTTTTTTTTGTTTGGGCATGAAAAGTGGCTCTTTAAGCACTCTTAATCCTCATATTGTCTTTTATAACCACAAGCTGAAGAAGACCGCTGCAAAGTGTCAGGGTCATTCGGTTTTCTTTCATAAACCAAATTCAATTATGGCTCCAGATTTGATGTGAGTGCTCAATTTTTAGTGGAGCCATAGACAAAAGTGGATTACGTGCTTTCAGACTTCTTTGTGAGTTAATGGCTGTGTGTGTTTGCGTGTGTCAAACACGTTTTTGGAACGTGCTCATGCCTCCCCCAAGGGACCCCTGGCTGCGTTGTTTCATATCATTTTCATGTTGAACTTTCTGGTCCCTCCTGAAGTGGTCCCAGTGGCGGGTTCAGATTTCCTGAAAGAGTACTCCACTGTGAAGTTGTTTCTTCGCTGACCGCGTCCCCGGCTCCACACGAACAACAACAGGAAGCAGAATAGGACAACCCCCAGAAATGTGATGCAACCCATTGCCGTGGAAACCAAGATGGTGGTCAGGTCCAAGGTGAACTTGAGGAAAACACGTGTGCTGTTTAGGTTTGTGTCGTTGAAGAACTCTCCGCTGTACAACGAGCGGTTAAGAAAGAAGGCTGAGGCGGCGTCTAGTGGCTGGCCGCGCACTGTGAGCGTGGCAAAGTAGGTGTCATTGCCTCCAGCATTGCTGGCGATGCAAATGTATGTTCCACTGTCGGTGAGCTGGGCGTAGCGGATCTCCAGGGTGCCACTCGGGAGAACGATGATACGCCCTGAACTTTTAGTTGTGATTCGCCTACGCTGTGGTGAAATCCAGACAATAGCAGGTGGAGGATCTCCATCAGCCCGACACAGAAAACTCACTGGTTGGCCTTCCCGAGCAACAACCTGGGGGAGAAAGATGTGCGTAAATGAATACATGTAGAAGACTCCGAATATACAAAATGAATCAACAGATACAGAATGTTGAAAAAGCAACTTCAGTAATCAAACCATTAAAATGTTTAAATGCATTAAGTCTGATTGATCCGTTTTTACCTGCTGCATTTTACGATTGCGGATTTTGGGTTTCTGACATGTAAAGTGATCAAAGAGTGCAGAATCGGTGAAGGTGCTGAGGCTGACCCCTTGCACCTCCATCGGCCCGGCACACACTGGCACTCTGCCGTCAAAGTTGAGGGTCTTGCGTCTTTGCAGGATCCACAACAGACGGCAGTCACACAACAGGGGATTCCCGTCCACTCTGAGAGTCTCCAGACTGTTGACAGAGTGAAAGGAACCCTCCTCCAGAGTCTGCAGGTCGTTAGAAGAGAAGTTGAGCACCCGAATCTGTCTGAGACCTCCAAGAGCATGGGGCTCCACTGCTATCAGCCCAGTGCTGACCATGATGAGCTCCTTCAACCTCAGCAGGTCTTTGAAGGCCCATGGCTCTAGTGTGGTGATGGGATTGTAGGACAGGTTGAGATGGGTCAGGTGAACCAGGTTCTTGAAGGAAGCAGAAGGGACAGAGGTGATGTTGGTGTTGGTGATGGAGAGCCAGCGCAGGTCAAGGCCTTGAAAACTAAGAGGGGAGATGTACTCAAGGTATGGCCAGTGATCTATATCCAGACCTCTCAAGTTTGACAGCTTGCGAAAGTTTTGGTCCTCCAGGGCAGTGATGCTGAGGTGGCGAAGGCGAAGAGTGACCAGGCTGCGAAGGTAGGATAGTGTCTGGCCAGAGATGGATGTGAGGTTACATCGTTCTATTGTAAGATCCTCCAACCCCAGCAGTCCCGAGAAAGCCTGGGGATAAGGCAGACCGGATGGGATTACTTTGATTTATTTTGCAAGTAGTGAGTTTGTGGTAATGATGACATGAAAGACAAACATCCTTCTAGTTATTTTTCGTTATAGTTAAATGTAAACGTACCTTGTGGGATATATACACCAGATCATTATCTCCCACCTCCAGGTGTTTCAAACTCTTCATATCTTGGAAAGTGTAGTCTAATAAAATCACCATCTTGTTCTCACTTAGGTCTAGGTTGGTCAGATTACCCAGCTTGGCAAAGGCTCCCATGGGGACTAATTTCAGCTGGTTACCCCTTAACTTGAGCACTTTAAGATTCTGAAGGGAAGCAAAGGCATTGGGCTCCAATGTGGCAATGAGATTCTCACTGAGGTCTACTTCCTCCAGTCGTGGGTATGGTGTTAAATCACCTGCCTGCACCCAGCGAAGCCGGTTCTTGCTGAGGTCCAGGAGCCGTGTCTCAGTGGGAATGCCTTCTGGGATGTTGGTAAGCCGCCGCCGCTGGCATGATACCGACCTCAGCTGAGCGGAGCACTCACATCGAGGCGGGCATGCCTGGATGCTCTCTGGCAGAGTCAAGGTTATCACAGAAACCAGTGAGGTAGCCAGGACCCATTGCCATATCTTTGGCCATGGCACTAAGGCACGCCCACCAGGGCCAGAAGAATCAATCATGGCCCTGGTCCTCTGACTCCTCGCCTGCTGCAGGCAGGGTCAGTGCACCAGAAACCTGCAAGACAAGAAAAAGGGAGGACAAAATGAGGTAAGTGGATGAGTAAAAAGGTAAAATAATTACAAACAAGATGAAGTATAACATCCATAATTGGTGAAGTTGGTAAAAATGACATCCACACTGATGTTAATCCTGTACTTGTACTTAATGTGAGACAACAGTAAAAATACAATTGGTGAGGCCCCATCACAGTAACATTGATCAATTTAAGATATTTAAAATAGTTTGTCTTTTCTCTAATTTATCTAAAGGCTGAATTAGGAAAGTGGGATGCTGAGAGCCGTGTGAGAGTACGTCTTGCTCCTGCTGAAATCATGCATTTTGCATCTACTCTGTTTTCGTTGCAGCACTGGGACCATCTGCTCCAATTTGACAAACACAACGAATTCATTATCACCACACAGACATGGGCTGAGGCTCTCAACAGTTCAAACCATGCCTTTAAGCCTTGCATGCCAAAGCTTTGAAATGTGAAAAGAAAGGCATTACTGTAGAACCATATTATGTGTTTGATAAGGCAGAAGATGATGGATAACTGCGTAGGTTTGGCAGTTTGCTGGGTATGAATTAAAATCACTTTGGTCCGCCCAGCACAAAGATAAGATGAATCATTTGTGCTTTGACATTCCTTCAGGCAACCGCTGAGTACTCCCACTCACTGATTTCAACATGGAGACAGTCAAAGAGTACTTGGCATTGGATCTCAAACAGATCTCAGTGTCCATACATAAATCAGGCGGAAAACTTTCATTCTTCAGGAAGTTGTTGATTCATAAGTACAGGTGGAAAGATGTTTTTAAATTCAAACAGAAACTGTCCCAAGAAAGCACTACAAAACAAACTCTTAAAGGTTTGTTTGTTCATTTTTCCGTGGGGAAATGAGAGAGAATATCTTACCACCATGAGGGAGTATCAAGTTAAAATGCTCTCTGATGCTGGTGAAGAGGGAGGACCCAAACCAATAAATAAAATATGAGTTGGTTTGTGCTGAATGGGCAGCACAAACCAACTCATATTAAAACCATGACCTTTCGATGATAAAAACGCAAACACTGACAGAATCTATGTTTACTGAGGGTTTTGCCTTAAAGGGACTGTTCAGACCTTTTAAAGCTGTGGAAAGTTTATGTTTTTAATCAATGTATGATGATTTTTCAATGACTCCAGTTTGGAGGAATGGAAAATTGTTAGGATTCGACTGACAAGTTAACAGTTAGTGACAGTGAGGCCAAAACCAAAATGGATTGTTGCCATAACACAATAGCTATAATCTAAAAAAATATATATATCACAGTCTTTCATGTGAACTAAATCTTAAAAATCTTTTCACCACTGTCAGTTTAACATTGCACAGCTAAGACAAAAATATGATATTTTTGCAGGAAATACTTCAGGCTGCACAGGAAGTGCTACAACTAGCTGCTGCCTCTTGCAAATAATCAAAATATTCAATGTAAAAATCATGTAACACAAAATTGACATTTTAAAGTTTTATACAACATCGTTCGTGAGAACAACTTTAATATTTTGAGCTTATAGTTGTTATAATCATTAGCTCAACAGTCCAGTCAGAACTGAACACTGCTTCTTTAAACTGTGTTCATTTAGGGAACTCTATAACTTTGTATAACTGCTTATATTAACTATTCATGACGTTTTGATGAAGCTCCATTTAAAGATCTGAACTATCATTTTAAATAATTTTTTCTACCAAGACGAATAAAAAAACCCAGCTGTTTTATTTATTAATCATATGACTCTTTCATGGTGGTGGCATCAGGCATTAAAGCAGAAAATAAACAGATTTATGTTAAATTATAATGCACGTCACTCACACATTTTCACACTTGATCGCACAGAGATTTGGTATAATCTCCAAAGCCATCAGGGTGGATACATCGTTCAGATTTGACAAGCCAGAGCAAACACTGTGTTATACATCCCAAAAAAGGAGGCTGAAATCCGGCACAAGCTTTTCTTTCAATGGGAAACAAAAACCAGACACGGAGCGGCTGCTGCGCAGACTGCTGCACAAACTGACCCACTTCTTAGCTGCATTGTCAACAGGCAGCATCTCACAAAGACCACAACAACAGCAGCAAACCTCAGTGTCTCAGGGGAACAAGGCTCAGAGAAATCAAGAAAAACTAACACTGTACAAACATGTTCTAAAGAAATACAACACAACAAATAGAAATAAATTAAACAGTCAGGCAAACATTTTTTTGTTATATTTTAGCTGTTAAATAATAAAAAAAAAGCATTTTTCTTGTAATTTTCATCTTTTGTGATTGCCAATCATTTTTAGACATTGTGTTGCTTTGACTCACATTTTCCAGCACTTTTTAAAAAAGTGTGAAATGTGTGATAACAACACAGTCTTATAATTAAAACCAGTACTTTTAAAATATTGTATCTCAGTGGGCAGTGTAGTTCATGTGTTCAACACATATTTGTATGATTTTATGTGGGGGACTGTGATTGAAATGTAATATTTATTGATCTGCTTCCTGATACAGTCGATATTATGTCAGCATATTAATACTATTAATAACACTTTTTATTATTTTAAGGTCATTGTGAATAATTTTGTAATGCTTTGTTATCACTGTTTGGGAATGATGGTGCCAGTAGCAGCTGACTAGAGATACATATCACCCCACCCCCTTAAAAAACCTTGAGGATGTTTAATTTTTTGTGTGACTGTTAGGTCGTTTTCACACCTGATAGTCTGGTAGACTCGGTTCGACTGGGGACCAAAATTCGAAACATTTGTTTAAATTTTCAGCTGGTGCGGTTCACATTCCCACTGCACTGAGTCAGTCAGGCCAACCTGTTCCCTCCCTTACCTGTGGGGGCGCTGCACCAAGAACTACTGAAGGAAACAACATAAAAACTTCTGAAGATAACACTGAGCCCAACTTACTTCTGGAAATCAAATCAAAAATGGAGTGACGTCAAATTTTAGCGGTTTTAGGATTTGTGTTTTGTCATTTTTCAACAATAGACTCAGTATGAGCAGAAGATGAGGTAGACCATGAAGAATGTTGTTTTTTACACAAGGCGGCTGAGCCAGCTCCGTATGAGGTATGAGAAATGCACGTTTGTTTTGGTTGTATTTACATAGATTGCCCTGCGCTGTAGTCCACTTCCTACTTTTGGAACGGACTCTGGTCCGCTTGCATTCACACTGCATTCAAACCACACTAGAGTTCACTTCAACCGAACCGAGACCTAGGTAATTAGGGTTGCTTTCACACCTGATGGTCCGGTAGACTCGGTTCGGTTGGGGACCAATATTCATAACATTGTGTTCGAACCAACCTGTTCCCCCACTCGCCTATGGTGGCGCTGCACCAAGAACTACTGAAAGAAACTATGCCAAAACCTCTGAAGAAGACCTTCTTCTTCTTCTTCTAGAAATAAAAACAAATATGGAGTGGCATCAAGTTTTAGCAGTTTTAGGAGTTCTATTTTGTCATTTTTCAAAAATGGACTCAGCATGAGCGGAAGATGAGGCAGAAGACCATGGAGAATGTTGTTTTTCACACAAAGCAGCTGACGGTTCCATACGAGGTAAGAGAAAAGCGTGTTTGTTTGCCCTACACTGTACTCCACTTCCTACTTGCGGAGCGATGCCCGGTCTGCTTGCATTCACACTGTACTTGAACCGCGCTGGAGTTTTCTTCTACAGGACTGAGACCTAGGTTTTAGCTCTTTTTGTTCCATGACAGAGTTCAATGGTGCGTTCACACCTCCCCAAACGAACCGGACTTCCTAGGAAAACATACTAGAGTTCGATTAAAGCGGACTAAACAGGGCTGGTGTGAATGCACCCTTAGTCCCCTGGGTTTAGTTCTGAAAGAAGAAGAAGTGCTATGTGTTGTCACCATTGTATATTTCCATACAATGATGACATTTATGTTCTGCATTAACACATGAGATACACCCAGGTGGAGCAGCGGGCAACTATAAGCACCCAGGGAGCAGTTAGGGATTAGGTGTCTTGCTCAAGGACACCATGACATGTGGACATGACGGGGAGTTGAATCAATAACATTCGGGTCCTAAGTTGGCTGCCCTACCTCTACACCACAGCCACCACACTGGGATAACACTGGGACAAGACATGAAGGGGAGGGTAGGAACCCCCTTTACAGTTTCTATGAAACTAATATTTTCGTTTCAGGAAGTCAGAACGAGCCAGACTGTGGAGAGGACGAAGCATGAATAAGTTCTGTACTTTTAGTGCATTGACTTTCTGTGAGTCTGGTTGCTCTCCGAAGCGTTGTAAGAAATTTGATGAAGTCTACACCTGATCGTATGTGCATCTGTTTCTTTTTCGGGGACACAGCACAACTCATTTGCTGAGAAAATGTTGTTTTCATGTCAAGTATTTTATTGTAAACTATGAAAAATTCTTGACCGTAGGAATTTAATATCCTTATCCAACTATTGAAACAGCATTGGGACGCAACAGGCCAAAACAATAAAACAACATATTTAGTTAAATTTATGTCTAAAGTGGTTGAGTCTCACACGATGGGTTGTTCAGCACAGGTGTGGGCAGCTTTATGAATCCAGGTATCCCAGAGATAACATGAACACTTACTTAAGTATTTGTGTTTGTGAACATGACCTTGCTGTAAAACAGTGAAGGTTTTATCATTTGTGATGTATGAATAGTCAAGATTTAACTTTCCTTTTTTTTTTAATTTTAGAAATCTACCACTAGAGCAGGGGTGTCAAACTCACTTACCAAAGGGGGCAAAAATTAAAACCTTTTTCAAACTAAGGGCCAATTTCAAAAACAACATTAACTCAAATCAGATACCCAACATATTTTCTTGATCACAAGTTCCTCAACAAGAGTTTGATTGAACTCATTTGATGTTCTCTGTTGTGCTTTCGACATCATAATCAAAGATTACTGAAAAAATTCAATAGATAGAAGTATTTTATGTTTCACATATCATCTGTGCTTGCTCAGGATGGGA